ACAATTTGAGATGAGATTTGGGTGGAGAGACAGAGCAAAATCATAAAAATCCTCATTAGAGAGACTGCCCTCCAGGGTCTTTCTGACCTGGGGGCTCTGCTCCCCCATTTCCTCCTCTGCTCTCACCAGGTCTGTCATCTTCATTGTTGACATCTTGTGATACAAAGACCAAAGAGGCCTTGATGCTTTTAGACTTCCAGGATGGAGGGCTGAAAGAGTCAGACTCACTCAGCCATGTTCCTCTGCCTTTCCCGCTGTGTTCATTTCGTTTCTGGACCACAAGATACCCTGACAGCTCAAGTCAGTGCCTGGGAAAGTCATTTGATGGGGCTCAGTATTTTGACATGTTCAAGTTTGAATCTGCCTACGAGGAGAATGAAGGATCCCTGTCAGGGTTCTGCAGTAGCCAGAAGTTCCTTATGTTTTCCTTGTACGTGTGCATGTGCATATGTGTACGTGTGTACGTGTGTGTGTAAATATTAATTTTTGAGTGACTACTATTGCTAGTTATTGAGTGAAGCAGTTTGCATGGATTGTCTCAATCCTTCAAAACCCTTAGAGGTAAGAAGAATCACGTCATCATTTATAGGTGGGGACCCAAAATTCAGAGAGGTTATCACACCCTGGATCCTATAACACCTATGAACATTGTCACGGTTCAGAATCCAGGTTTTCACGGACACCACTGTATTCTCTCCCCCTCCCTTTCTCTCTTTCTTTCTTTCTCATTATGGCCAGTCTCTCTCCCTGAAAAGCTGTATTTTAGACCCTATCTTTTTCTCCTAAGAGAGGTTAGTTCCCCTCCCCCAGTGCCATCCTAAATTCTAAGCCTATGGTTTTAACAGATGAGAAGGAAACAGGCAACTCAGCCCAGTGAGGCCTGGAATAGTACCAGGGACATGGCTGCCCAGGAGTCCTGGAGCATAGCCAGGGCTGAAGCTGAATACAAGCTAAGCACCACAGGTGGGGTGGGATCTGAGAAGCCCCTGAGCTGTGTGAACAGATTTTATTGTTCTCACATCCTGGGCCTCTCCCTTCTGCATCCCAGAGGAGAGATTTAATTTTCTCAGCAGCTACTGCTGCCTCCAGCATTAGTTCTGCAGTTGCACATCTGGTCCCTTCCAGTGCCTTTTGCAGAGCTGTGATGTGTCTTTCATTTGAGCACATGGGCCTAGGGCATCCAGCTATGGAGACACATGGAGGAGACAGGGGCCAAAAAGGAGTGGACACAAAGAAATTCTAGGGCAAGTCCAAAGCCCTAAATTGGAATCAGAAGCAGAATGACTAGTTAGCAATTTGGGAAGAAAAACAAACAAAAGTTGGAGATTTTTCTCATTCCTTATATAAATATAATTTCTACTGGATTAAAAATTAAATGTAAAATGCAAAATGATAAAAGTACAAGAGGAGAACAGGGACAGATTTAGCCAAAGGTCAGGCTTGGTAGCTCACACCTGTAATCCCAGCACTTTGGGAGGCTAAGGTAGGCAGATCACAAGGTCAAGAGAGCGAGACCTTCCTGGCCAACATGGTGAAACCCCATCCCTACTAAAAATTAGCTGGGCTTGGTGGCAGGCGCCTGTAGTCCCAGCTACTCTGGAGGCTGAGGCAGGAGAATCGCTTGAACCCAGGAGGCAGAGGTTGCGGTGAGCCAAGATCACACCATTGCACTCCAGCCAGGTGACAAAGAGAGACTCCCAAAAAAACAAAAAACAAAACAAAAAAAAAGTCTCAAATCAAAACGGAGGAAAGATTGATAGGATTCACCACATAATCTCAGGTATCAAGTCATCATCCTTTGACAGAAATGAAAAGATATAGAATAAAGAAAGAAGAATAAAATGTTAACAGTAGAAATTAGGTGCTGGTAGGTATATGGGTCTTCACTAAAAACTTATTTCAATTTTTCTGCATATTTGAAAAGTTTCATAATAAGTAGTTAGATACAATTATATAGGGTGAGCAGCCATGCGTAAAATTGGTTCAACATGTGACCACAGATATTTTTTCTCATAGAGCACATGTGACATTTTATTCAATTATTAATTTACTATCATTATTAGTCTTCAGCCACACAATTTTTTTTCCACCAAAGTGGAGGTTATTAGCAGGTCATTTGCTTCACTCTCCTGGTCATTTAGGAAAAAGGGTAGAATTTGGTGGAATAGAAACTAAGCTTTTTTATCTATCTCCCCATTCTCAAAAACAAGGCAGGATGCACCCTCTTTCCGTGAGAAACTGAAACCCATTAATCCGAAATTAGAAGATTTGCTGTTCAGAAGTTATTCTATGAAAAAGATACTTGCTCAGGCATGTTTATGGCAGTACAATTCACGATTGCAAAAATGTGAAACCAACCCAAATGCCCATCAATCAACGAGTGGATAAAGAAACTTTTTTGTGTGTGTCTATAATATATAATATATATATGATGGAATACAACTCAGCCACAGAAAAAGAATGAATTAATGGCATTTGCATCTACCTGGATGAGATTGGAGACTATCATTCTAAGTGAAGTAACTCAAGAATGGAAAACCAAACATCATTTGTTCTCACTTACAAGTGGTAGCTAAGCTAGGAGTATGCAAAAGCACAAGAATGACATGATGGACTTTGAGGACTCAGGGGGAAAGGGTGGGAAGGGGGTGAGGGATAAAAGATGACAAATTGGGTTCAGTGTATACTGCTTGGGAGATCTCCAAAATCTCACAAATCACCACTAAAGAGCTTACTCATGCACCAAATAACACCTGTTCCCCAAAAACCTATGAAAATAATTTTTAAAATAATAGAAGATTTTGAGTAGCAGGAACCAACAGGGAGGCGTTGTTCTTCTCTGTAGTTTTAGTCCTCCTCCTGATTTGTCAGGCCAGAAAGTGTCTCTGCCGTGGCTGAACCCTCTGGTCCCTTCAGGAAGCAAGAAGGTGTCCAGAAAACGCTACAGGCAGAAATCTCAGCCCCAGCCCTACCTGGCAATGATAGGAGGTAGGCCAATAACACCTATGATAGCTAAAAATCCAGGAGAGACACTCCCAATGCTGGGGAAAGCTCAAGTGGGATCCGGAGCCAAACAGAACTGCACAATCTCCTGGTTTCCCTTATTTATCTATTAAAAAGCAAAGGTTTTTGATAACTACGCCTCATACTTTTATCTTCAGTATGTAAATATCTGCATTTCCCACTAACAACTTCATATAAAATAGCAGAACATTGATAGATGTAGCAGCATATGAAATTCACTAGGGGTAAAGTCACCGCATCCTGGAAGAGGCTTTGGAGAGTATTTACACCATTGTGTTTCAGGAAGTTCTAGACTCTTGAGAACTGAGCAGTCTCCAGGAAGTTCCACACCCTGCTCCCCCTCCTCTCCCTCCAGCTCTTTTAAGCTGGAGAAGTGTGAAGAAAACCCCTCCCTCCCTTTGCTCCACTTTCAGGTGATTTTGTGAGGACCAAATACTTGGAGCCTTGGCAGCCACTTCTGCCAATGAGGGAAGACCAAAAGGATCGCAGAGAGGACTTTCCAGAGCTCTGACTGGAGTCAATGAACCCATCGTAGAAACGCCGTTTGCTTGTCGGCTGAGAAGTTTCCTGGTGATTAGGCTACATCCACTCAGGTATAGCACACAAACAGATGGAATTACTGATTAGTGAGGAGGCAGCGTGCAAACTAATAATTACTGCACAGGCTGTAAGTGCTCTGGTGGAAGTCTAAGGTGATGGGGAACATTTAATTCAAACTTAGGGGGTCAAGGAAGCCTTCCCAGAGGAGGTAAGCGCTGAGCTGTGAAACATAGGATGAGCAAGAGTCATCTCCACAAGGCAGGAGGTAGGGGCCTGGGACCACCTGCCCAGGGTTGAAAGAGAGACAGAACATGCCGGTGTGGCTGCTGGGGAAGGAGCATCTAACATAAGATGAGGATGGAGAGGTGGGCAGGGGCCAGGCCAACTAAGAGAAATGGAGAGCCACGGAAGGATTTTTAACAGAAAATTAGATCTGTAATTTAGAATAATCACAGTGAGTACTATTGAATTGCTGACTGGATACAATAAGAGAATACTAATAGCTAATGTTTATACAACACTACGTGACAGGCTCTAGGCACTTTAGAGGCATTAGAACATTGGATTACTTAATCCATATATTTTTCTCTCTAATATATATATTAACAGTAGTAGTTAATATATATGATTAATAACAATAGTAATTATGTGAGAGAGATATATATCATATATATTAGTAATTACATGAGAGATTATATATATTATATACATCTCTCACAACTATTGTTAGCAATCATATATGTTAACTATTACTATTATTACATAGTATATATATCTCACATGATTATGCTTGTTGTATATTTACAAGTATATATGGTTGGGGGCACATTGGGGATGTCTCATCTCCATATCTCATATTCATCTTGTTGTATGTGTGTATAGATAGATAGAAGATATATAGATAAATATCTCACGTGATTATATATATATACATATATATATATACTCACAGGTGTCCCACAGCCCATAGCAAATATAGGGAGAGGTATATATAATATGTATCTCTCTCACATGATTACTATTGTTATCCCCACTTACAGATAAGGAAACCGAGTAAAGTGGACAAACAAGGATCTGTAGTCCCACTGCCTGCCTGAGCCTGAATGCCGCATGGCACTTGGAGGAACAGCTGTGGCTGGAGGCTAATTTCCTGTTTGCACTTTGAAGGCTGCTCTCCCTGGTCAGAGACTCCGATGGGACACAAGTGTGGAGCCTGTGAGTCCTGACGCAGACTTTTACTTGGCAAAGGTTCGGGAAAAGCAAGTGGCTGATTAGAAGATACACGATTTCTACTGAGGGCCAGGCAAAAGGCAAGTATCTCAAGTATGAACTGAGTTTGCTCTTTTGATCCTGAGAATAGCTCTGTCGAGTTGGGGAGGTGCTCTGGACATTTTACAGATGACAAAACTGAGACCCAGAGAAGTTAAGTGACTCACCCAGGGTCCCAGTGTTACTAGAAGGTGTGCAGTGGTCTTCCAGGGAAGACCGTCTTGTATCAGAAGGGAGAGATGATCAGTTCGGAAGGCCCTAGAAAAGACGAGGTCATTTGAAAGTGATAGCAGTTCCTCTGGGGGCGATCCTGGAGCACAAAGTGCCACATGTCAAGGCACCGACATAGAAAGGGTCTCCCTATCTCAGAGCCCACCTGGTCTCTTCCTTCTCAGGGTGGCTCCTCTCTCTCTCTCTGCCTCTACCCCTTGTCCTAGCCTAGTATGGGTGCAGGTCCCAGGTTTTGTGACATCACAGTTCAGGGCCCACAGCCCAATCTTGGTTCGTGCCATTGAGAGTATCTGATTGGCCACTGGTTAGCCAATGGTGGGACAAACTTTGGAGCAGGCTATCAATGTTGGAACAATCAGTAATGAAGGAGTTGAAGAGGATGGGCAAACCACAGCTTCTCCTTCTGGAAACGGAGCTCGTCTCCAAAGAAGACCAGTTCATTTTCTACTACCGACAACGTGGATGCTAGTTCTCTCCTGCTCACAGGTTCAGCACATGTTACAGAAGAGCGTTTTTCTTCGGAGATTATTCGCAGGTGTCCCACAGCCCATAGCAAATACAGGGCATATTAAGTTCAAATAAATATAAATATGTGCAAATATGTGAGTATATTGACATAAATACTGCATTTATATTCATATACTATATTAAATGTATTGAATATATTTTCATATATTTATATTATATATACATATTTCAAGCTCTATTGTATATATGAATTTATTGTATATTAAATGTATCCTATATAAATATGAATATATGAATTCAATATATTTCAATTAGTTGCCCATATCTAAAGAGATTTCACATAATAATTCATGTTTTAAGGTATTTTTAAAAATGAAAATAAATGTGCCATAGCAGTAGGTAACATCCATGTAGCATTTCCAATGTGTTACCCCTGTTTTAAAAGATTTCTCTGCATTAATGTATTTAATCCTGGACTCGACATTCATCATGAGGCTGACACTGTTAGTTTTCCTATTTTACAAATCAGAAAACAGACCCTGATAAATTTAGCTGACTGGGCCAAGATCCTACAGCTAGTTAGTGGCCCTGCTGGGATTAGCAGCTGCAGTGTGGCTCTGGAGCTCTGCCTGTCAGCACTTAGGGGCGGTGACCTTTGAGAGAGGCGGCTCTGGCTGCCATGGGCAGTAGGTGGCTGAGGCTGAGTGTCCCTGAGAAGCTGAGTTTTGGCTGGTAACTTTGCTCCAGCACCAACAAGCCAAGCCACGCTTCCACGCTGCCCGCCTAACTCCTGTGGGCTTTCGCATTTGTTATTCTGATAGGTTATAGGGCGTGAAATTTCCTGTAGGAGCTGCACTTGGAGTTTTAAAATACATTTCATTTCTAAATTTGAATGTAAATGAACTCATCAACAAAAGGAAAACTAGAACTAAAGTTTGGATAGAGAAAGCCCCGGTTGTGGCTATAAATTCTATATGTTCTCAATGGTATAGTTCAGGTTTCTTCAAGTAGATTGAGCCCTGAGAACCTGTCTGTTGTATTTCCCCCTGGTGAATCGGTCAGACAAACGGGGGCACCTCAATTCAGAAAAAAACTGCCCAGCTGTGACATTTGTCACTGCAGAGGCCCGGCTCATCGGTCAGTCCCTTGTCCCTGGGCTGACAGCTCTGTGTTCCCCTGTGACCCCGCCGCTGTCTGACCACCTCCTCTCCTGACTGATGCTGAAACCTCCTTACAAGTGTGGAAACAGCCTGTAGCCTGCAGGAGGCTGAGGAGAAGGGAGGAACTAGCAGCCCCAGTCAAGTCTAGCACAGCCACCTCCCGGTGGCTGTCCTCAGCCCCCACTCCAGGAACAAACGTGGGCAGCTGGGCAAAGACGAGTGACCAGAGCGTGGCCTGCAGTGATGGCTGTTTCCCCTAGAAAGGTCAGAAGCGTGGAGAAGCCGCTCAGCCTTCCTGAAGTGGGCATGACTCCCTGTGTCGTATCCACTGACAATGCCCATATTTCACCAGCGAGGCCTGGACGGTTTGCCATTGATGAATGTCAGGTAGAATCTCCCATCGCCTCCTCTTGTCTTCTGGCATTGAGTGGCCAGTCTCTTCCTTTTATCAGTCATATCAGGTGTCCCCTGACGGATGCACAGGGAGACGGAAGGTTTTGGGTTTCGTGCTGCGGCGATGAGGACCTGGCTCACACAGTTATGGAGATGAGATATCCCACAATGTGCCTCCGACCATCTGGAGACCCAGGCAAGCTGGTGGTGTAATTCAGTCTGAGCTCAAAGGCCTGAGAACCGGTGGGGACTGATGGTACAAATCCCAGTCTCATGGCAGGATGAGATGAGATGAGGTGTCTGAGGTCAAGCAATGAGGCAGAAAAAAATAAATAAACAAGGGGGAAAAATTATCGTTTCTCCACCTTTTGTTCTATTCGGACCCTCAGTGGATTGGTTGGTGCCCGCACGCTTTGGGGAAGGCGAAATATTGCACTTCACTGAGTCCACCAATTCATATGCTAATCTCGTCGGCAAATATCCTGACAGATACACTCAGAAATGATGTTCGATAGGAGCACCTCAGGGCCCAGTCGAACTGGCATATACATTAACTATCACACTCTAATCAGCCCTTTTCACCTGAGGAAAGTTTTCAGGTTTTTGAGTCAGAAGGGACAATTGTGTCCTTGAAGACAGCAGGTAATTTCCTTACACAGTTTGTCTCCCGTAATGACATTTCCTGTCCAATTTGTGATTTTATTTTTCAAATAATGTACTCAATACATGAAAAAAAAAATACTGTGGGAAATGACAGTCAACCGCAAACAGCAATTATAAATCTTTTGTGCATTTTTTCTTACTTGAAAATATTAAAACCATCAGAGAATACAGAAAGCACCACACATCAACCCAGTGTCTGCGGTCATTGAGACAAGTGGTGTATTTAGATGCAACAGTGAAGCATCCGACACCTTCCATTGGGCCCCGATGAGCACCAGTCACTCACCAGCCCAGGGGCAGGAGTCCCCGGGCATAAAACCTGTCCCTGCAGTGATTAATAACCATGACTGCAGACAGTTATTAGGAGACCTTAGTCATTTGCTGCATGATGGAGATGCCAAGTCTAAGGAAAGACATTTCTAAACTGCCTTTGAATGTTTTGCTAAACTCCGTTGAATTGAGGAAAAATCTGACATGCATAATCAGTTCTTACAGACCCGAGAACAAGAAGAATTCAGTGACAAATGTATTGAGTGTGCCTGAGGAAACATCTATTTCATATCCACGAGAAACCATTCATTATTATACTGCATAGCTTAGGCTAGACAGGAGAGAGATGGATGTTGACTATTCTTCTAGTGGGAGAAGGTCACATGCTAGGCAAGTTATGCCCACCAAAGTCGCCCATCCCCTGGATACAGAGTTCTGACATCCATCCCTAGACAGAAGGGCTTTGCCACATCAATTTTTTCCAATTCAGATCCCGGATGAAAGAATCATGGTGGGAGACGATAATCAGGCAACAAGTCATGACAAATGTGCAGAATGAAAAACTCTGGACTGGCAGACGTCAAAGAGCATGCTAAGAGATAAAATTATAGTCATGTCTCACCTCCTTGCTAACTCCAGTCGAACTCCTTTAAAACATTCTGAGTTTAGGACATGTGGGACACTGGACTTCCAAGTCACAGATTGTCCACGTGATTCATTTCAGGATCCGTTAGTGGTGGGTGGAGAGTTTCACAGGTTGTGACTTTGCTAGCAGCTCTCTGATCACACTTCCCCTTACCTGGTTTGCCACTTCGGGGGGATCTTCAATGAGGCTTGCGTGGTTCTAGTTTCACATGCAGACAGTGCATATGGTCAACTCAAATGTATATTTCTTTTGTTAGATAATTCACTCAGTAACCAGAGATGATCAAGAAGGTTAAAACTGGAAGATAATCAATTGGTGATAATGACACTCTTCAGGGCAGGTGAACCACAGATGACCCAGGCTGGCTCAGTTTACCTGTAGTGATATAGTGATGGCAAGGACAGGCAAGTGTGTGACAGTAAAGCCATCTCTATTGTTCATGAATTGCATCAAAGCACAGATCACCATGTCCTATTAATAAGGGTCACTTTACTACTCCAATGTAAGTACAATAACCTTGATAATTCTCTCTGTGCTTTTACCCACAGTTCTTCCACACCTGGATCCCACCTTGCCTGAACCTTTCAAAATCTACTGCTGGACTTTCCAATGGCATGAGTTGGTAAATCATCTCATTTTTGCATAAGCAAGTGTGACTTGAGTTTCCATCACTTGCAGCTGAGAGAATACTTGTTCTTGAATTTTATCCACAGTGGGGTACTGGATGTTTTCTGTTTGCCCCACGAACTCACTCTCTGCCTTCCCTGTCTTGCTGTCTACCCTTATTGGTTTGGTTTCCACTTGGCTCTGGCCAATGATAGAAGACGATAAAAGAGCGAGGGAGAATAAAGTCATGTGTTTATTTCATCAGCGATCTCCAGGCAGGGTTGCCAGCTGACTGGGTGTGTTTTGTCACAGATCTCATAGCTTCTCTCAAGGCAGCCTGCTCCATCTGACTCTCCCCCTCTGAATTATAACCAGTTTTCACTGATCACTTATTATGCTCAAGAACAGTGATAGCTGTCATGGATACATTAGTTCCCTAAATCCACTTCTGCAGGAAATGTTAGAATTGTTGCTTTTTTATAAATAAAGAACTTGAGAGGGACAGAGAACTCCAGTCACTTGTCAAAAGTCCTGTGCACCTCTGTGATCCCCTTACAGGCTAAAAATCTGACTCCAACAACACCGGACTCCTGCTTCTAGCTTCATATTTCCCCAGTCCCCCTCACCCTTCACCTTCCCTACTCAAGTTACCCAATAGCTCCCAATCACTCACTGGATGCGAGTTCTCAGTTTTCTGGACTGACTTGATCAAGGCTGGTATTGGTTAGTCTCCTGCTCACCTGCCCAGCCAGCCTCATCTCCTGTCTCTTGCCACATTCCAGTCCTGAATTTTATGCTCTGGGCATGAAGAATCATTCCTCCTTTTCCAGTACCCATTAGAGTTTCCAACTCTGAGCTTTTTTGTATTCTAAATCTTCCTCTTGCAATAGTCTATATATGTTGCTATAGACACCTGAACAAAGATAATGGCACTAAACTAAACATGAAGAAAAGGAAGTGATAGACATAACTGATGGAGTAGAGTATAGATGCTGATGGAGTATAGAG